ATTACCCTGTTTAGCTCTTTCTGATCCTACAGCTTTCAAAATAATTGAGACAGATGCCTCTGAACTTGGGTTAGGAGGAATTCTTAAATAAAAAATCCAAGATGATGAGCAACTTATGCGCTTTACATCTAATGCTTGGAACCTAGCTCAACAGAAATATTCTACTGATAAAAACGAAGTTCTAGCAATAATCTATTGTGTGACAAAATTCCAAAGTGATTTGCTTAACAAAAAATTTCTTATCCAAATTGATTGCAAATTCGCCAAAGATATTTTAGAAAAAGATGTAAAAAATCTAGTTGCAAAACAAATTTTTGCTAGATGGCAGGGAATTCTATCTTCTTTTGATTTTGATGTTGAACATATTTAAGGAAAAGATAACCATCTTCCTGACTTCTTGACTCGAGAATTTTTGCAGGGAGGGAAGGAGAAGCCAACATCAACCAATGAACATAGTTCTTAGCCAAGGAAAAACCCTGATTTCAAATAGTCCCAGCTCAAGAAAATACCTAGCTTCATATGGTTCCAGCTCAAGAAAAACCCTAGATTCCTCATACACTCCTAATGCTTTAATAAGAAAGCAAGCTCATGAGATTGAAATATCTCCCCAACATTCCCCTTTGAGCACCGATAATCCAAATCAAAATAGAACTTCATTTCTCGACACAACATATATACCGTTGATCATAATAGAAAATGAGCACAAGGAAAAAGACCCTATTGAAATAATAGCTTTATACTTATGCCACCATCTACATCCAAATATGGGAGATAGATGTAGAGAATGGTATGAAACAATATTAATGGAAACCGGGTCGGTGTCAATAGTACAACATTATAGAAACAATGACTCGGAAGTAGTATATTCGAAATTTTAGATACATAAAATCATTTCTTACAGAGACTGGGGTCTAAACCCTTTAAAACCAAAGGTATTGAATACCGAAGGATTTAAAATCGAATCCTATCATTATTTCGAATATATTAAGGCATGGGATGAAGTATTTGCCTGCCAGAATACTAAGCATGCACATAGCTGGTACGTATTGTTTAAAAGAACTGAAACAGTAGAATTCCCAAATTGGTTTAAAAGTTGGTTCCTATTATGGTGATCATTAAGCCAGATACTACCTGAGAAATTGCAAGTGTCACAGAGAAAATTCTCTGATTATAATAAGAATAATCTAAAAAGAGACTACCACATTTATGGCCTTATATCAAGTCCCATGGATTTTAAAATGGTCCTATCAAATTTTTGAAGATAATTTGGATCGGTGAGATTATATTCCAGAACTACAACGACAGATTTCAATTAAATGGTGGGATGCCTACAAATATGATTCTCTGGAGCCAGAAAGAATTTATATGAAAGCCATTCCAAATTTTTCGCCACAATCTGACATAGGATTCTCTGAATATATTTCACTAATGCAACAAAAGAATCCAACTCTTTCAAAAGCTGAGATTAGAAAAAAGCTACTTTTTGCCCTTGAAGAAGATGAAGTTAAAATACCCACTTTATCAAAAAATGATATAAGAGACTGTGAATTGCCGACAAAACACTGTTGAAGAATCTTTTACTTTTCTATCTTTTCTTTAATAGATGTAAAGAACATCTTTTACTTTTTCGGTGCGAATCTTATCTTTACTTTGTCGGTGCGGATTTAAAACTGTTTGAAGTCCGCCCTCCTCCCTCTTCTATAAAAGGGAGCCCAGACCAAAAGAGAAGACACCTTCGGATGAAAGTTGCAGAGCTTCTTGCAATAGTCTTCTTAAGAGTCTTAGGTTGAGTGCTTTGTAAGAGTGTGTTGTGTGCTTTGTAAGAGCTTGCATATGTGTATATTACTTCTGGTTATCTATTATCACAACTACTATCCATGTACGTGCCTTACCCTGTCTTTCAATTCTTATATGAATTGTATGTTTTTTGCTTATTTCTCTCTTCTATTATTGTCTTCCACCTTTGTATCCTCTTTCGCTATTCATTGGTTTCAGGGGTATTTTGATCAAATTTGTTTCGTGAATTAATTTGTTTATAGTTTTATTAGGTGTGCCTCACTAAGATGTACACACGTTCCAAATTTCAGATCATTCCAATTTGTAGAAAAAAAAAATGAAAAATGAAACACTACTGAACAGTCATGACCGTGCGATGAATTTTGGATGGTGATGAGGGTAGGCGAAATCACTTTTCATTTTTGTCCTATAGGTGTTGGGAAGACTTTTCCTCTCTCTCTCGCTATATATAT